AAAAAAAAGCATATTTACTGCATATACAAGTTGGGGCTAGTGAGGCCCAAAAGGACCACTCATCCTCATTTCCACTTGAGGGCGCTGTCTGCCTCAGTGAGGGGGGCTGAGTCACATTTTGCCACTCAATGCATTAAATGCAGAAGTCTGCATTAACCTGTCCTTTCTTGCCTCTATATGCAGTTGGGGTTCCTACCTGAGCACACTAGTAAAGGGAAGGCAGCAGGTCCATTCATGCAGATGCTATGAATTTCAGGTAATGCACTTGAGCATAGTTTATCAAAATAATGCTAGGTTTTGCCTAGAGAAGTTTTTTCCCCAACCTGTATGCTAAAGTCATAGCTGAAATCACATCACACTGCAGTAACTTTAGTTCTTTTGAAACATCATGCTTTTCTGGCACCTGCTTTTCCCTCTGTTCCACCCCCACATCTACTCCCCTAACTAGGGTCCAAGTCTCCTTTGGAGCTCAGCTTAGATAGCACTAGTCCAGGATTCCTTCTACGACCCTCTCACACTGGGTTAGGACGACCTATGTGCACCATTTGCAACCTATACTTCTCCTATTGAGAAACTTGGTGTGCAGTTTTGCAAGTTTTGCAACTGTGTTTATTAACTGTACCCCCGCCCCACCCCGCCAACAAGGCTGTAGGCACCCTGCAAACAAGAGATATTTTTATCTGATTTATGGTTGTATTCCCTGCACCCCCACGGTTCTGCCTTGAAAACTCCATCAATATTCTTGAAGTAAGGACTGTGCCATGTAAGTCTGCTTTATCTTGGCAGGGACTCTAACGTTCTATTCATAGTCTCCATGTATTTGCCCTCCAAGCATGTGCCTCAGCACCCACCATTTTGTTCCCACTCTTACCTTGTTCTTTTACTACGCAAAGTGGTCAGAAGACAGGATCAAGATTCAACAAGGTAAGCTGTCTCCTGATGGTCAAGGCTTATGGAAACGCCACTTGGCATTCTCTTCACCACCTCCAGGCTCCTTATAGGATTCACAGACAATTCATCCCAAATTCTGAGTCTGCTGCAAGAGAAGAAGTCAACCAAACAAATTTATAAAAGGGACCATGTTGGAATGTCTGTTGTGACATTACAAGGCAGCATCCCCCCTGGGAAGGAGATGCAACTCCTTCCTTTTGCCAATCAGATAACAATGTCCTCTTCTCTCTTGTATGCAGTTGACAGAACAGCACAGAAGGAGGATAGAGAGCTCAGCCTTGTCTCTTGCTGGGCCACTTCTTGTGTTCATGACAGACTGTATTTTGGAACTAGAATGGCATAGAACCATTTAGATAACCTGGAGGATATACAATAGGCACTCCAAGACAGAAGCAGAAGTATCCTAGGGAAAGTTCCAGAATGGGGTGAAATGAGATTTACCCCTCTAGATCCTTATTCCATCATTTGGTTTCTTTGCCTCAGACACAACATCTGCAAAATGGAGCCAAGCTCGACAAATTCAAAGCGACATTATAAGGTCACGTGAGACAGCGCACGTGGAAGTGCTTGGAAAACTATGCCCAGGAAATAAAAAGTAAGAGATTCGTGTTTATAGAAGAGCAGCAGACTGCCATATTACCCACTATCCAATGTCCTTAGATTTTAAAGGTCGGAGGACAATGTCTCACTGCCTTCACCCTGACAAATGTTTAATTAGGAAGTAAAACTTATAGCAAAATTGGTCCAGCATATATTAAATGATAATCAGTGAATCCTGAGCATGAGAACCAGGTAGTGATCATTTAGTATGAAATACAGGGGAAATGGCATATACATTTGCTGTTTTGCTTTCATACTTACAACTGTGTAAATGAAAAGATACATACAGAACATGGAAAGTAAACATGTCTCAGTCAATTCCCTTAGAAAAGACCCACAGCCCTCATTCATCCATAAAAGCATGTTTTTAATTACTGGAAACTGGCAAAACACAGCATAAGAATTTTCTCAGACAAAAGACATCACGTCACACTTTTCAAGAGACACAACAAACCCCAAGCAGTAAATACAAAGAAAACCACACATAATAAAACTGCAATGTATGCACAAAATGATAGAGCTACAAAATATTCAAAGCAAAAAGTGTCAGAAATTAAAGAAAAAACAGACACTTTCTCAATGGTAGTTGAAGAAAAAAACCAGAGTAGTCCTTAAACACATAATGTGCAAAAAATATTTGCTCCCAGTCTGGAGTCTATTATTCTCTTAAAATGGTCTCTTGAAGAGCAAAAGTTTTAACTTTGATAAAGTCTAACTTAGTAATTTTTCCTTTTATGAATTGTATTTTTGGTGCCAAGTCTCAGAACTCTCAAACTCTCCCATCATACTTTTCCTCTTCTTTCTTTTTCAGTGTATGTACTGCCTTTACCTGGTTTGAAGACCAGGGTAATGCTGACTTTATAAAATCATGAAATGAATTGGGAAGTTTTCCCCCTTCCTCTACTTTCTGAAAGAGATTGTACAAAAAAAGATGTTAATTCCTAATTCCTCTTCAAATATTTGGTGGAATTCTCTATTGAGTACCCAGTGGAGGTTTCTTTAGAGGAATGTTTTAGTTGTTAATCACCAATACCAGCTATGACCATGTATCCAGTTGCAGAAACCAGAACTGTACTGTCAAGAATGATTCCTCCTCATTTTGTTAAGAACAGGCCAGGCGCAGTGGCTCACACCTGTGATCCCAGCACTTTGGGAGTCCGAGGTGGGCGGATCACGAGGTCGAGAGATCGAGACCATCCTGGCCAACATGGTGAAACCCCATCTCTA